GCCATTCAACCTCATGCTCCAAAATTATTTCCTCTTATAATAAGGGAATAATCACATGACTCCTCGTTCCTCTTTTTTTTTTTTTGCCCATTCCATTGTGGAGTATAAATCACCATGAAAATGCACTCATCATAGGAGAGGTCAGAACATAAATGTTTAAAGCAACACTTTCTTCCTAAATTACTAGCAGTTCCATCTCAAGACGTCTGAATTCAATGAAACTTTGTGGATAAGGCAACTGCGTAGGTCCTACTGTTTGTGTAGTCGGTCAGCACAGGTTTTGAATGTACTCAGAGAAACAGCTTTCTTCTTAAAAGTATGGACTAATTTTTATTTTCATACTCCTAAGTTGGTTGTACGTGTTATTTCAGAGATGCAAAAAAAGCTACATCATTTTAAAACAAACAATAGAAATGAGTTAAAATTATGATTCAAAGACATTTAAGTGGTTGTTGAATAAACAATGGATGAGACTGGAATTTTACTCTATATTGAAGCTAAGTATTAGAATTATGGTTGCCTATTTTATCTCTAATCTCCTAAAGTGCAAAACATGAACGTAAGAAGCCTATTTAAGTGTCACATCACCAGGTAAGAACATTGAATACGTATATTTTAGTCACGATTATGACCATTTCATTTTCACAAAAACACAGGGATCTATATTTTATTGTTTAATAATGACATATTTTTATTCATTGTAAAATTTCCTAAGAGTTTTATACACTTTTTTCTGAAAACCTGAATTTTATGTTATTTGTGTAATTAGTTAAAGCACCTATTTCAGTTTTATAATGAGTATTTTAGAGTACAGGTAGTAACCAAATAACTTGTTCAGATTCCATTCAATGTCTACCAATCAGATTAAGTGTTCAGCTTAATTGTGAAGTATCTCTCAGTGTCTTCCAAAGAAAACACTGTGATACCTGGCTTGAGAAAATATTGATTCATCTCTACTCTCTAACTGAAATACATGGGAATTCTGACAATCTGGGGATAGAGACCCCAGCTCTTTATCAAAAATTTTGCTTCATTAGAAAGGAGACAACATCTGAATCTGTTCCCAGTAACTCTGGACCAGAACTGTGTCCCAGAGAAGGGAGAGACAACGTCAGAACGAAATGAAGAAAGAACTCATAATAAGATTAAAATTTGAGCATGGTCGAGTGGGATAAATAGACTTGGAAATATGGAAGTGTGGTTACTATAAAGTAAGAAAGAGTTAACAGAACTACCTCATATCAAAACCTAAATAAGACAAGAGAGAATTCAACAAGCGTATTTTCTCTTCTTACCCTTTTCTAAATAAAATATAATATTCATACTGAAAAGTAATAAAATCATAAAGTTTAATACTTATCAGAGGCAACACCCATGTAACTACCACCCCAGTCAAGAAATAGAACATTTCCAGGATGCTCAAGATTTTTCCTCATTTAAACTTCCAGTTCCTACCCTCTTCCTCCTTCCAGATGTGACCACCATCTTGACCTCTAACACTGTAGTTTAGTTTTGCCTGTTTTTGAAATGTGTACTAAAATAATATAATATAAACTCGTTTGTGTCTAGTTTATTTTGCTCAAGTCCTTGTGAGAGTTATCCAAGGATTCCTCTCCATCTTATTTACAGTAACTAAGCTAGATGCAAATTACTACTGTGGCCCATGGATGACACATTGGTTGACTTAAATCCGTGGGGACCCTACTTAGATACTGAGGTGGGGTCAACTTAAAACAAAATGGCAAGCAATGATTATATAATGGAAATTTTGAGACGCTGAACTTCTAGGATGAACTTTGGAAAGTAGTGACCCCTATCAATAATGTTTCATGTTTGTTTTTGGTTTTGTTTTGCTATTTTCTCAAGATTGGTCTTTCTGACTGAGTCTCCCACTGATCTACATGTACAAGTTCACTTGGAAGCACAGTGAAAAGATGAGAATGATCTTCTTGTGTACCTATTGTCATCAATTAGAGTACATATTTAGGGGTGTTGTGTTCGGAAATCTTCAAGTCCAAATTCAGCAAGAAAGAATGTTATAATAGAGGCACAATGAGTTCTGTGAGCTTTGATTTGAAAACATTTAGCACATCCACCACCTCTGAATTTACTGTTTCTGATGTGGAAAGAACCTCTTGTTAGCGAGCATAACAGAATTTGCTTTAGTGAAAGAACTAGCAGTGTAGCTGAGACATAAGAAGGACAGGAAAATGAGGATAGCGCTAATACCAAGGGAATAAATACACTGTCTTCTATTAACCTCTCTTTTTTTCACTTTTTATTTTGAAATGAATATAGATTGATAGAAAGTTGTAAAAATATACAGTACAGGGAGATTCCTTGTAACATCTTACATAACTAGAGCACAACATCAAAACCAAGGTATCAACATTAGTACAATCTATAGTCCTTATTCAGTTTTCACATGCATTTATTCACTTATGTGTGTGTATATATATATGTATATAGTTTTATGTAATTTTATCACGTGTAAATTGATGTAAACACCATCACATCTGTTTTCGTAGTCTAGAAAATAATTACCACCAATTATTTTGTTACTCTGAAGTAAGGTTGTTAAAGGCAAGACAAATAACGGAAACTTTACGTTTGTTTACTAATTTTCATTTTAATGAGCTGGTTCAGTAGGGGAGAATTTTAACGTTTATTTAGCACACGTAACATGCTTGTCGTAGTGCTGAGTGTGTATGGCTTTCCACCTTAGGATGACTATATATATATATATATATATTTTTTATCATCTTTATTGGAGTATAATTGCTTTACAATGGTGTGTTAGTTCTGCTTTATAACAAAGTGAATCAGTTATACATATACATATGTTCCCATATCTCTTCCCTCTTGTGTCTCCCTCCCTCCCACCCTCCCTATCCCACCCCTCTAGGTGGTCACAAAGCACTGAGCTGATCTCCCTGTGCTATGCGGCTGCTTCCCACTAGCTATCTATTTTACGCTTGGTAGTGTATATATGTCCATGCCACTCTCTCGCTTTGTCACAGCTTACCCTTCCCCCTCCCCATATCCTCAAGTCCATTCTCTAGTAGGTCTGTGTCTTTATTCCCGTCTTGCCCCTAGATTCTTCATGACCATTTTTTCCCCTTAGATTCCATATATATGTGTTAGCATACGGTATTTGTTTTTCTCTTTCTGACTTACTTCACTCTGTAGGACAGACTCTAGGTCCATCCACCTCACTACAAATAACTCAATTTCGTTTCTTTTTATGGCTGAGTTATATTCCATTGTATATATGTGCCACATCTTCTTTATCCATTCATCTGTCGATGGACACTTAGGTTGCTTCAATGAGGATGACTATATTTAATCCTAGTGAATTATTTTGTTTTGGTTTTGGTTTTGGCCACGCAGCATGCAGGATCTTAGTTCCCCAACCAGGGATCAGTCATGTGCCCCTGCAGTGGAAGCACAGAGTATTAACCACTGGACCACCAGGGAAGTCCCTCTAGTGAAGTATTTTGGTATTTCACTGTTTTACTGATGCAGAAATCTATTAATACACCAGAAATTCTCTGTGCAATATCTTCTTTAAAGGGAAGATCACACAAGTATACCTAGCAATAGGAAATCATTTAAATTTCTCCCACCTCTGAATAATCTTGTCCTAGATCCTGACACCATTTAAAATTGAGTAGCTGGCCTCTTATTGGTCATTCATTTCCACTGGTGAAAGTTTTCTAAGAATTAATTAGGATTGTTCTTTAACAGGTCTTGCTCTGGCCTTCTCTAAGAAGTAGAGATGATCACCTTGTACCTCCAATCAAGTGAGAAATATTTGCCGTTGGTGAGAATCTGATTTTCAGTTCTTGTTCAATGTATTATTTTAATTTGACCTCTGACATGTTACCCAATATCTTAATTATATTATTGGTTTTGGATACTGCACTGTTGTTTTTACAAGTATGGTATCACTTTACTGTTACAATTTTAACTGACAGTTACAAATTCAATCATAGATATTGACCAGAGACATTACACAAGAAAGTGTTAATTTTCTTAACACTTAAGTTAAAAGTGCCAAGAGTACTGTTTCCCTCAAAAGAAATAAAAGGATAAACAAACAACAAAACCACAGCGGCAATCAATTCTGCATCTGGTTTAGGAATAGCTTACTCAGACTCAAGTGAAAGAAATAAAACAATGTGAAATTTTGGGACATATCTAGATCTTTCTTAGCACTCGACTCTGCCTAATAGCTATTTTATAAAGTGAGATGTTTACAGAGAGAAAGAAGCATTCAAATAATAGTGATCTAACAGGTAACATATATTTTGGATAAAACATTGGCATTCTCTGATTGTTTAGGGTTGGGAGAGGTTTATAAAACCAGAGTGAAGAGAACGTACAATTTGTTTCAAAATTTCTCAATGTCGGCCCTTAACATACATCTCTTCTAACTGATAAGCCCCATCAGCTGAGAATTAAGCAAAGCGTAAAAGCTTCACGGAAGAGCTGCAAAGAGCTTGCTCTTTGGCTGCAGCTGCGGCTTGTCTTCCCCCATGTAGCTGGAAACAGTGTTTCTGTGGCGAGCTGTTGGAGAGCCTCTGGGTTATCACTCAAATAACAAACCAAAGGTGACAAATTGGTCACTTTTAGAAATCTAAAGCACAAGTATTTTTTTTACTAAGTGTCATTAAAATGGCACTGAGCCTCTTTTTGGGCCTTTAGGCAAAAATATCTACATTGAAAATCTCCATAGTCAAAATCTGTTAATGAAAAAGGCATAGAGAAAAAGGGGAAGTAAAAGGATTCTCTAAGAATAGTAAGAATCAGTACCCAAACAGGAGATTATTCAACTCGGTAAAAACCTGTCAGTTTCAAGAACGTACCTTTTTTTCTTTTTTTTTTTTTTTTTTTGCTGTACGCGGGCCTCTCACCGCTGCGGCCTCTCCCGTTGCGGAGCACAGGCTCCGGACGCACAAGCTCAGCGGCCATGGCTCACGGGCCCAGCCGCTCCGCGGCATGTGGGATCCCAGGGCACGAACCCGCGTCCCCTGCATTGGCAGGCGGACTCTCAACCACTGCGCCACCAGGGAAACCCCTCAAGAACGTACCTTTTTACTTTTGGGCTAAGCACTCAAACAGTGATGAGTGTCAGTTTACACATTTCCAAGCTCCACTAGCCTGAAATGAAGCTGAGAAAAAAGATTCACATAAAGGATTATTGTTAAAATTTTATAATTCATTCTTTAATTCTTTAGTCGAGAGGTGGTCTATAATTTATTATATATAGTATATTTAATAACTATCTGTAAAATAGTAAAATTATTTTGGGGTTTATGCCAGTTTTGTGTTCGATATTTTGCATGATTTACCTTTATAATCTTCATTTACCCTATGTTATTAATAGCATTATTTCTTAAATTTCATAGTTGAAGCCACAGTTTTGTCAAAGAAATATGCTCCAAGTCAACTAGATAGCAATGGCTGAACTGAGTCTCACTAAGTTTTGTCAACCTGTAATAGATAAAAATGTGGAGAGTCACTTAGCATAATTGTAAGAGAATATATGTGATTTTGCTTCAACTATCCTGGTAATTTTGAGTCTTTATTTGGTTTTAGATACATAAATAGCCACCGATGCATTGGATATTATTACATAGTAATTACATATATTTGCACATTTATATACTATACATACTACATGCATAATTGACTATGAACTACCTGATTGTTCTTATGGAGGTAAAACCCAGATTTAGACAAATAATTAAACCAAGTTCTTACCATAATTTTGTACAACTTAAGGTCGTTTTTAAAGTCTTAGCAAGCTTTCAGTTATATGCTTTGTTTCCTAATTTCCCTGATTTCATGCCTTCTGTCTCCTAAGAAGCATAATTTAATTTTTAAAAATATCTGTCTGTATACACTAATATCTATTTGTGAATTTTATGATACTTTCATATATAAAATAATTCACTTGAAGAGGATATTGGCACCGAGCTGGGTGGTCGTTGTTAGAATTTATTTGGATTTGTTTGAAGTTAGATTTCATGGTGGAAATCTTACCTTTCCCTCCTTCTTCTATTTGTGTGTGCATGCGTGTTTATATGTGAGCATGTTTGTGGGTATGTATGTGGTAAGAGAGGTGAGAAATCTTTGACCAAAAAGATTAAGTGCAAAGATGGAAGTAATATTATAATTTGGCTGTAACACTTAAAGGATATTTGCTATTCACTACATGTGAATATTATGTTTACAGTGTTCCAACAGGCACTAGGGGTAGAATGATACGAATATATATTACATCTTATTTTAAGATCTATGTCTACTGAAAAGGTTAGAAAATTATAGCACATTTTATCAACAACATCAGAGAGGTGTGTATAAGAATTTAGGTACTATAAGTCTGCTACATGACATAAAGTAGAACATATAACATGTCTTGGTTGAGAAAAACTTTCTTTGTTATTCTAAGGAATTTGATTGTATCCTGTTCCCTTACGATAGTAGAGAATTTTTACATCATATATATGAAGTTTTGTAATTTACTTGTTTAATATGATTTTTTCCTGGTTATAGATTCCTTCAAGGGTTGAAAACTAGAAAAATAAAAGGAATAGAAATGGCCTGTGTTCTGTTTACAGGCATACCTCCTATAATTTCACTTTGCTTTATTGCACTTCACAGATACTGTGGGGTTTTTTGTTTTTTTGGTTTTTTTACAAATTTAAGGTTTGTAACCAGCTTCAACATTCCCTTAAATCAAACCCTAGTCCAGAGTAAGGCCCTAACTCTCTCCAATTCTACGAAGGCTGAGAGAGGGAGGAAGCTGCAGCAGAAAATTTGAAGCTAGTGGAGATTAATTTATGAGGCTTAAGGAAAGAAGCTGTCGCTATAACATACAAGTGCCAAGTTAAGCAACAAGTGCTGATGTAGAAGCTGAGGCAAGTTATCCAGAAGATCTAGCTAAGATAATTAATAAGGTGGCTACACTCAACAACAGATTTTCAGTGTAGATGAAACAGCCTTATATTGGAAAAAGATGCCATCTAGGACTTTCATAGCTGGAGAGAAGTCAGTGCCTGGCTTCAAAACTTCAAAGGACAGGCTGACTCTCTTGTTAGGGGCTAACGCAGCTGGTGACTTGGAGTTGAAGCCAGTGCTAATTTATCATTCTGAAAATTCTAGGGCCCTTCAGAATTATGCTAAATCTGCTCTGCCTGTGCTCTATAAATGGGACAAAAAAAGCCTGGGTGACAGCACATCTGTTTACAACATGGTTTACTGAATATTGTAAGCCCACTGTTGAGACAACTGCTCAGAAAAAAAGGTTCCTTTCAAAATATTCCTGATCACTGACAATTCACCTGAGTCACCCAAGAGTTCTGAAGAAGATGCACAACGAGATTAACGTTGTTTTCATGCCTGAAAACATAACACAACACAACATCCATTCTGCAGCCCAGGGTTCAAGGAGTAATTTTGACTTTCAAGTCTTATTGTTTAAGAAATATATTTCACGAGGCCTTGGCTGCCATAGACAGTGACTCCTCTGATGGAACTGAGCAAAGTAAATTAAAAACCTTCTGGAAAGGATTCACCATTCTAAATGGCATTAAGAACATTCATGACTAATGAGAAGAAATGAAAATATCAACATTAATAGGAGCTTGGAATAAAATGGTCCCCACCCTCGTGGATGATTTGGAGGGGTTCAAGACTTCAGTGGAGGAAGTAATGGCAGATGTGGTGGAAACAGCAAGAGAACTAGAATTAGAAATGGAGCCTGAAGATGTGACTGAATTGCTGCAATCTCCTGTTAAAACTTGAATGGATAAGGAGTTGCTTCTTATGGATGAGCAAAGAAAGTGGTTTCTTGAGATGAAATCTACTCCTGGTGAAGATGCAGTGAAGATTGTTGAGATGGCAACAAAGGATTTAGAATATTATAAAAACTTAGTTTATAAACCAGCTGCAAGTTTTGAGAAGACTGACTCCAATTTTGAAAGAAGTTCTACTGTGGGTAAGGTGCTATCAAATAGCATTGCATGCTGCAGAGAAATTGTTTGTAAAAGGAAGAATCAATTGATGTGGCAAACTTCACTGCTGTCTTAAGAAACTGCCACGGTGACCCCAACCTTCAGCAACCACGACTCTGATCAGTCAGCAGCTGTCAACATCGAGGCAAGACCCTCCAGCAGCTGAAAGATTATGACTCGTTGGAAGCTCAGATGATGGTTAGCAATTTTTAGCAATAAAGTATTTTTTAATTAAGGTATATACATTGTTGCTTTAGACATAATGCTATTGCACACTCAGTAGACTACAGTATAGTGTCAACATAACTTTCATATGCACTGGAAAACCAAAAAATTCATGTGAGTCACTTTATTTTGATATTTGCTTTATTGAGGTGGTCAGGACCTGCACTATCTCTGAGGTATGCCTCTACTTTCTCCCAGGTCCTTTAAATGTAGTTAATTCTCTTTCTGTTCCCAGTAATTTACATGAGAAGAAAGTGAATGTTGGGTGTTGCTATTCCACTATGGAAAACTATGAGAAATTGATGAAAATGTGGAGGCATCCAAGAAAAGTATCACATCCTTGCTCTTTACTTGGTCCTGCCTTTAAAATAATGGCTAAATATTTTGAAACTACCATTACTTAATCTGAGTGATTTTCACACTTCCTCAGCACTCTAGAGAGAACAGAATCATATTTTCTCTTGTATAAAAATCATAAGATTTTTATGGATACAAAGTAGGAACAGCTTTCATGAAAAAGTGAAACTGATACCTGAATGGGTTAAAAATCAACGTTGTAAAAATGAATCGCTATTTTAAAGATATTCTATTATTAAATGATTAAGAGTTTACCCAACTATTACATTAACAAGCATCAACATTTGCTTTGAAAATCTTTCAAGCCAAAAGTGGTTTCTTGATTTAAGAAATGATTGCTGAATGCCTACTAGGTGGTATTTTAATTCTATCACAGCAGTCTAACAATGACACCACTCACGTGTAGAAGAGCTTCTCAGACGGAGCAATATAAAACAAAGAAGGAGGATTTGAAAAGCTGTACAAGTATGAAGTATGATAAAATTTTGATTCAGACAGTGAAGCAAAGCCACACAGTGAAAGAGACAACTCAACAGACTTGAAAGAAAGTGAATAAGCAAGTCGTGTAGCTTGGCATCCACAGTTGAGGTGCTAACATTCATCTGGCTCCTTTACTAAAATAGACCTCAGAGTGTTACTAGGAAATGTATAATCCAAGCCTGGAAGAGCTTCCTTATTCTAAATCTAGCTGTCCCAGAAAGAATGGCCAAACTTCAGTCAAGAGTCCTGAATTATTTTGTTTTCCTGAGAGAATGTCAAGTAAATTTTTAGTTTGTTTCTAAAGCAGATGAATCCACTTTTAATCAGAAATATCCAACATCTGTACTCTAACTTTTGGACAGAAAATATAATCAACAACTTTCTGATGCTTTACTAGTAACAGAATGTCCATTACAAAGAAAAAATAAAAAGAAATGATTGTGGAGGGGAATGTGGGCAACAATTAATATGTTTCTAAAATTTTGCCAATTTTTACTTTACATTAAGCTTAGCAGACAGACAAATATCCTTACAAGGCACAAAAATTAGTAGCCAGAGGATGGCAAGGTTTTACTCCGGAGTACTGCCTACAAGAGTAATAAAGGACTGATAAGGTCAGCCTAACCGAACCTGAAATACAAAAAAGGGAAAAGTTACTCACATGTTAACACCTGCCTGCTTCCAGGGTTGGATATATTCACATACTTCCAGCAGAGGTCTGTCTCTGGAAATGCCAGACTATTTGTCCTTTGCACCAAAGAAAATTCCAGGAAATATAGGAGAGTGGCTGCGCACGAATAAGAAGTGGACCAGGGTCCCATAATTTCAGAGCTGGAATACAGTGCAAACATAGACAAGCATGAGCAAAAGTATGGTTAAGAGTGGCCCTACTGGTGTGTATGAACACTAGATGCCGTCTTGGAAATACAAAAGTGTTTCCAAATTAATGTCTATACAATTGTGTACAGCAGTCATCCGTCTCGGTGAGCTGTGCTTGGGAAATTTGCAGTGAGATGCAAGCAGTGTCTTTAGTGGCTGCCACTATTAAATTTATCTACATGTTGGCAGTGACAACAATGCAGTTAGTTCAGGTTACAACGACCAGCATAGGTGGAGTTACAGTGGCTCCTTTCTTATTAAAGACATAGGAGTCTTCAGTCAGGCACCAAGTAAAGTTCTGAAATAACCTTTCAGTGTCCCCTTGCTCTGTTTCCTTCCTGGAGGCATAACATGGTTTGAGAGGGACTAATCTGTCTTCTCGTGGACATGGTATTTGTTGGCTCTTCTGTTTCAGTAGTTGAAATTTTAAGCAAATTTACTGTGTTGGATTTCTATATTTCAGTAGATCCTCTACTCCATGATTCTGTAGTCCCAAGATATAATTTCCATGATTACCCTGTCATTGACCATCCTGTTCCACTGAATGCTAATCATTGTTCCGCCAAAATAAGATGCTTCCCACTTCCAAAGTGGATGCAAAAAATACTCGTTCCACTTCCAAAAGAGTAGTTTCTGTCCCATGTTGGGCACTAATGGTCCAGTGATGAAATAAGACAAACACCACAAATGGCACATGATACAACTCAAAGGAACTCAGGGATAGTAGGATGCATGTGGTGCCCCAGACTCTGGTTATACAGTACAGAGACTTTGCTAGGCTCAACTGAAGCCACTGTAGCTAGTGCTACAGGAAAGGGATCCTGGTTTCATGTAGATTCATGGGAAAAATGCTAATGCGGAATCAGAAGACAAGACCTCCAAACACAGTTAAATAACTAACCAGTATGTGATCCAAAAAAGGTCAATTTTCCAGGTTTTAGTTGCAGCAGTTCTAGAGTGAAAGGATTAGATTTAAGTCAGTGATTTTCATAATTTTATCTTTTAGAGCAGAACTTTTATATAAAATTTTAAGTAGAGATGTAAACAAATGAAATGCACAGACTCCAGAAGTATTATTACTGAGGCTAGGGGTACTTTCCCATTTAACTTCCTCCACACTTGCCTTTGAAGATCTAAGGCTGATTTTTTTTTAAAAAATAGAAAGTTTATTTATATGATGAAACATCCATTCTAACATTCAAAATTTATGATTTTCAGTACTCACAATTTAGTAGATATGTTTGAGCTATCTTCTCATTTCCAGATTTTTTTTTCCCCTGAACCAAACCAATCTCGTGAAAAAGTCCTTTTTGGTTGAATTAAATCCTACAGAGAATCAGAATTCATAACACTATGGATATCAGGTTTGGAGTATGTTTTACTATCTTTGCATCTCCTGCACCTAACATTGAAGGGCAACAGCAGATGTTCAACTTCAGTTTTCACACTTACTGACACATGACTAAGTTGATAACTGATTGATGTATGTGGCAGGTTGTTACAATATGAACTTCCCCCAAAGAATATCATCTTATTGTATTCATGCCCTTGTGTTGTCCCCTTCCACTTTGAATCTGAACTGACCTGTTACTTGCTTTAAACAATAGAATGTGGTAGATATGATGTTTCTCAAGTTCCCTAACCAAGTTAAGAGGCCTTGAGGCTCTTTCTATCTTGTGAAGAACTAAGCCACCATGTAAAGCAGTCTGGACTATCATGCTAGAGAGGTCACATGGTAAGAGGGGCCATGGAAGATGAATGACCATGAAGGGAAAAAAGTCTTGGAGAATAAAGACCAAAGAGAGGCAAGCCTCAGGCTTGCAGCCATCCCAGCTGGTGGGCAGACATATGACTGGTGACATCATGGATACGTCTGTCCAAATAGCAGCCCCATGGATGACCCAGCCAACATCATATGGAACAGACACGAGAGTTATCTTGGCTGAGCCCTGCCCAAACAACCCACAGAAACATGGAAATAATAAAATCATTATTGCAGTAAGCCATTAAATTCTGAGACTATATGAGATAAGCATGTATGTTAAAAGGCTCTGGTCAAAGCAAAAAGCACTTATCTACTTCAAGTCTTTGCACTATCTTGCTCCACTGTTTTCTCTAAGTGTTGAATATTGTTTCATTGCTTCATATACATCATTTTTACTCATGTTATCTAAAGCATTTTGAGAAATCTAACAAATTTTATCTAGTCAGGAAAGTTTAGTTTTATGTCAACTTTAATTAAAATTTTAGTACATTCTCCAGTTCTGGTCAAATCAAAAATGAAAATATATTCAAAAAGTACCATTACTAACATATATTTAAACCTAGTCAAATGTTAAATTTAAAGCAGGAGAAGTCATTATTTGGAATTATGGAGAAGTCATTATTTGGAATCACTAACAGATCTAATCCATTAATCACATATTTTCTTTAACTTCTCTTCTTACCTAAATGTCTTCTTGATTGTTAATCTCCATCTTTTTTAGTCCTGCCTTTATGATTTCCCTTATACTGTGTGATATTTCATCCTAATATGACCACTGTTGCATGCATATTTTCTTTTTTTTGTTTGCAATTTTATTTCATTCTATTTTCCTTTATTTTGTACAGATATAAATATTAAAGATATTTTAAAAATACAATCTAATAAATTTACTCTGAATTCTAATAGTAACTTCACACTTGTTTTAAATTATATTAAAACATTAACAATACATTAACATTAACAATAATGAAAAAGCATATATTAAGATTGCAGTTATGTTTAAAATATTAGCAACTTTCCAACAGTAAAATTTGACATCTAATTTTTTGAAATGGGAAAAATGCAAGGTGCATTTCTATTATTTTAGATTGTAATTTTTAGATTACAATCCTCTCCCTCCATTGTTTTCAAATTTTACTGAAATTAAAAAGTAATTGAAAGGCACAAGATAATCAATCAGGACGGCTTGCATGGTCAATATGTATATGTTTTTTATACAAGGAAAGAAATATCTTTTATGATAACATGTTAGTTCTGACTGGACCAACTATAGTTTCAGATAAATGATTTTCCTTCCCATTTGACCTGTTGTGTCAGTTATAATTAGTGACTCCAAGCTATTTCTGTTTTCATTTTTCTCCTTAAATACATTAAATGTGCATTAATATTTGATGTTACTGACATTTCCTCTAAATGGATTTTAACTTTATTAAAACAAATGTTTATTTATAAAACCATAATGTTCATTATAAAAGTATAGATAATGCTTAAAAATATTAAAAAACTGAAACAAACTAGAACCAAAGCCATTCTGATAATCTCCTGAAGTAACACCTCAAATGGGGAATCATACTGTGTTTATTGTTGAGAATAGCTAGAGTTTGACAATATCCTATCAGTTTTCCATAACTTACAGAGTTGTAAAATAACTTGAAGACAGTGAAAGGCATATACATATTTTTAAAATAAATATATTATGTTAACAAATGTGTTTATTTTTGTCACTTTAAGATGTCAAATGCATATGTATGACAGCAGAAAGTTGAGTGATGTGTGCTCGTGAATTCCTCTGGTCTTATAAAATGCTTTGTATAATAGACATTTGCTAATTATCTACCTAGTAGTTTTCTCTGGGTAATAGAAATTAGTTACTCTGGCTAAAAGTTATAATTAATATGCATGGTTAAAACTCTACGAGAAACAGTGATGGGGAAATGTAACAGTGATGGGGAAAATTTTTAATTTTCCAAAGATGAAGAACAGGTTTTTCCTAAATTAGTGATGTTCAAATATATTAAGTCTCTGAACCTCAATACACTCATAAATTATCTCCTGTGGTGGTTACTTAAAGGAGTATTTCTAATCACTTCTGATATCAAAAGTTCATTGCCAATTTCTGTCTAAGGCATCACTATTAATGGTGATAAAAATTCACAGATGCTGGAAATCACACACTTCTGTAGAAAAGATGTTTCCCATTAGTGCAGAAAAATACCAATATGGACTCTATTTGCTAAAAGAACTATTGGAATGAATGTTTCTGAGATTTTGTGTGCTTATTGTACCATGTAACAGGAAGGGGAAAATGCTCTATGATTTGCATAATATTTTTTGCAAACTTTCCGTGAGAAATATGTGTTGAGCCTAATTTTCTCAGTAATTTGCATTCATGCATGTATGTATTTATGTAACAAACTCCAACAAATACTTACTATGAGCCATGCCTCCTCTAAGTATTTTATAAATAATAATGTTTAATAACTGTACTGATCTCAGACATACCCTTCCAGTCCCCCAGTGGCTCTTTCATCTAATTTCAAAACTGCAGCCTATACTGCGTATACATCTTGGTCTCTCCCAGGTTTTTAATCATTTAAAAAAACTATTGAAGTTCATTATATGAATAAAACTGAGCATAAACAGTTATGGCAGTCCCAGGACCTAAAAAACAACAAACACACAAAATGACAAAGTATGTTCAAATTAAGAAATTGCTATAACCTCCTCTGTGTGACAAATTAAATTTCTATTAATCTAGTTCCAAGAGTGCAGAAAAAGTGGATAAGGGAGGAAAATTCATGTGCATATTATTGAACTCTGACTCTGAAATAGTGTCTGTCTTGTCAGGACTGCCAGAAAAAGTAGCATGAGAACAAAGGTTTTACCTGTCTTGTTTACTTCTGTATCTACAGCTCTTAGAACAACACCTTGTCTGATTTGTAAAATAATTACCTGTTTCATGAATGAATGTCTGAATATATAAATGGAATCAGGCAATAAGTAGATTTATTGAAAATTGAATGTCTCTTAACAACTAACTGAGGTGAGAATCAACACACCTGCCTCAGTAGCATGAAAATTGTGGCATCAGTGGGATAATCTAATGAGAACAAGGCACACGGAGAATCTAGAAAAATAGCAGCACAGAGCTAAATGAGATGACAATACAAACACAGACTGTTTTGCATTCAAAACCAGTTTCTAATTGATCCTCATCAGATGATTCTCTGCCCTTTTTCAACCTGCTAAAGACGAGACGTCAAAAGTCAGTGGCTTCCAGCGTCTGATTCTGTTTCTTGTTAGATTTGTAAACTTGAGTAGGTTACAGAACCCCTTTAATATTCATTTCCATCATCTGAAAAGGTGAAACGCAGTTAAATAATGTATTAGAAATGACGTGTCGATTCTGAAATGGCCCTGCCCCCTTGGTCAGACCTCAAGCATCATCTCAACGTGCTCTATGTGTATAGAGGTGTACTGTACAGTACAGAATATTTCCAACCGCAGATTTGCTGATTCTCGAAGTAACACAACACCTACACTAGCCTCGATATGACCATACAATCTTTGGGATGAGGTGAGTGGATTTTGGGCAGAGGAGATAGCATGTCTGTTAAAAAGAACAAACAAAGACAAGAAGCTACTACCAAAAACATAATGGGAATTGAAGCAGTTCACCTGGTCAAGGAACAGAAGATAAAGCTTAAGGAGGAGAAGGAACCAAAAGTGAGGTTTACAAGCATGGATGTGGTGATCATTATCACTTTAACTGCATGGTTATCATTCAGACAAACATGATCACAGGAAATGCCACTAAATTCAGAATCATAACAGCATCTACCCACTATGAGAGGAGGAGGGAAGAGGAAAGAGGCAAACACAAAGAAAAATAGCACAATGGTCATAAAGCATCGATGAGACTATAAATACTAGAGTTGTATTTTACATGATGTCTTTTTTTTAACCTGAATTTTCTTCTGATAGAGTGCTTAGAGGTGGATATTTTGTAGATGGAAATAATGAGTAAGTGAGGACACAAAAGACAACCCCTAAGCTGCGATGGGGAAAGGTGTTAAATAATACCATGCAAGCATTATTGGGGGTCGTGCTTATATACAATCTTGCAAAAGGAACTGTTTCTCCCTAAGTTCCTCCCTGAACCAGTGCCATGACAGAACAGTGGTTGAAACAGAAAGTCTTCAAGACAGCCAATTCACATGAGAGGAAAAGAAAGCAGGAATGTAGCAAAAATAGTTCCAGAAAAAAAGGGGAATCAGACAGTCATGATTTTAGTGAGTGTTTTAAAAGAAGCAAGCTATTCTTAGCAATCAGTAACAAGACTGTACTGTACTTAAATATCAATTTTAGCAGGAACACGATCTAAAGTAAAAACTTACTTTACAAATAATAGAAGGTGTTTTTAAAAATAAGGCAATGCTCTTCTAATGCAGGTGAACATGAGAGATTGCTAGTACGGTTAAGCAGGTGACACCAATAGAGCCGAGAGAGAGGGAGAGAGAGAGGAGAGAGGAATCGAGAAATCAAGAAATCAAGCAGAATACATCAGAGATTGTTCTTTTATAAAGTGTTTTCTCGCCATTTCTTTAACGAGTTAGAACAGAAAATTAAATGGT